CTTTTTGCATTTTTAAAAAGTAAGGAGTAGAAAGTACAGATAATTGAATTGAAATGTAAGAAGTAGAAGTAAAAAAGGTAGTCTAAAAAATTTTTACTCCACTAAAGTATAAATAACCAAAATTACTACTTCAGTAAAGTAACAAAGTGTTTGTACTTAGTTACTTGACACCTCTGTTTAAATGTGAAAAAGAAGTATTTAAAAGCAGGATATGTCTCCTTTAAAACATAAGAACAGGTGGAAATGTGTTTTTAAAGAAAACAGTTTGTAAGCAGAGGCTCCATCTTTGCCTTTCGGTGGTGAGTGCTAATAAATCATCTCACAGTTTCGATTGAAAATCTTGCGTTAAACATGCCAGAGGAGTCTGCTGCTGTTTGCATCAACAACAAAGTAGAAACTCACCATATTGCTCACAAATGATGTGGGGTTTTTTTCTTTGTAAACACTGAATGTAAAATCTAAAGGATAATGTCAGCCACTTTCAAATGGAATGAGCCCAGATGACCTCCAAWAAAGGAACATCATCATCATCATCATCAAGGAGCACAAGCAGCAAGTGAACAAACATATTTAGCATAAATATACGTTATGACAGCAAATTCGAAATAATCAGCGCCAGCGTCTGGGTTATTGAACCGTGCTGCACCGAGGTGGCCGCAGGGAAAACGCCGAGCATGACGCAGAATTTTTATTACAGTTTCACAACTTTGTCGGCGCCGTGTTGTGTCTGTTCGGCACTGTGTCGGTGCGTGCGCCTGCTTTGCATTCAGCAGCTTCCAGTCGTGTTTCGCTTTCATTTATTCCATTATTTCCCAGTATCAGAGCTCCATCTGAACACTACCGATCATACGTTATTCCTAAATGATCACAGCTGAGGTTTGCAAATTCAAAAGCCATTTAGYTGATTAGAGCCCTTGGGCTTGCCGTACATCACAAATCACAGGCCTATCAACATGCGTGGCGCACACTCAACCCAACGAACGTAAAAGCTATGAAAATGAGCCGAAGGTCTGCCGCTTCCACTTCTGCCGCTTTTAGCAGAGAGTAATATTATGTTGTTTCAGACTCGTTGCACCCTGATTCGTGACGTTGTCTCCTGTGGGATCACCTGTCGGCCGATGAGCTGGCGAGTACTGCACTCAGGAACGTTTGTTTGCTCTTTTGCAGCACCGTCAGATCAACTTGGACAAGGCCAAAGGTCTGGTGGAGATACTGTTTGATCAGCTCTCTCGGGACGACGAGGGCTCGTACACGGCCCAGCTGAGGGATGGCCGCGCCAAGAACCAGTGCACTTTGGTCTTTGTGGATCAAAGTATGTCATCTGATCATTTTTACCACTGAACTGTCACGTTTTCTGTAGAATACTTCACAGCCAAGCAACAACTCTGATTGATTGGAACAATAGAAAATAAATTTTGTCAGAAGAAAAACCTGCATTTTCTGAAAATGCTGCATGACAAGCAAATCAGGAGCTAAAATTAGCAAAAAAAAAAAAAAAGCTAAAATTATCAAAACAGTACCAAAAGGATTAAACCAGCTTAACAAGAGCTAAAAGCTAAAATAAAATAAAAAAATAGCAAAACGTTTAAACCATCCATACTATAATTAAAATATTCAAGGTTTGTGCCTCAAAGGTTCAGATAGTCTGATCACCTGAATAATTTTGTTGATGTTTGGGTTTATTTTGCACAGGTTGACGTTTATTGTTGTTGCTTCTTGGTAGAGTTTCGGGAGACGCTGGCCTTGGCCGACGCAAATCGGCGGGACACTCAAAGAAAATCGGGTGAGAGATATGCATTTGTAAAAAAAATACAATAAATAAACAAATATTCTGATAAACGTTCATGAACAAATAACTRGATTGACAGCAGTCATGTCAGATAAATCCTTGTGTCATTTTACATTCGTTAGTTGCATTATCTTTTAGGTCATCTTAGTGTTTCATTTAAAAAAATTCATGATTAAAGGAAAACATTGAAGCTCTGAGCTGATGAGCGGCCTGTTTTCTGTGTGCATAGAGGCTAACGGCCCAGAGTTTCTCACACCGTACTTACTATTTAAAGTGACACTCAAAGTTCAAAGAGCAGATTTTTGTTTAATACATGTACAAAAAAAATCATTCAATAAATGTAAAAATGTACTATTTGTATCAAATCACCAATCAGGTCCTGTTAGATTTTTTTTTTATCAGTTATTTTATCACATTTTCGTACTTTGTATTTTTATCTGTTTGTTCTGAATGATAACCGCTTACTGCTTCTGTCTCTCAAGGACCTTATTTCCAGGAATATTTGACGTGGAGCGTGACTGAAGACTGTGAATTAATTATAAAGTGCAAGGTACTTCTATATAATACAACTACAACAAAATATGAACACGAACCATCATTAAGATGGAGGGCAGAACCCTAAATAAAGTCACAAAATAAAAGAAGAGCAATAAAAATGCCCTTTTTTGTCAAAACTGAATAAAATGTCCCAGATGGATGTGAATTCAAACCACCAATTCAGTTTTAAGCCTTTGGATGGAACTAAGCATAACAATAGAAGAGACATAAAATAATAGAAGTTGTGGTTTTGATGTGCTGTATGTCTCCACAGGTCACTAACACGAAGAAGGACACGTCTCTGAAGTGGTTTAAGGAAAATATGGAAATGAAGGAGTTTGTTTATGATCAGACATCAGGAATCAGCTCAGTCACCATCCCACAGGTATTTGATTGATGATGCCTTTATTGTCATTGGACGGAGCACAATGAAATTACACAGGTTATTTCACAGATGGTTCCAAATCAGTTCATTTCAGCATTCTTAAATTGTAAAGTATGTAAAAAAAAAAATAATAAAAATAAATGAAGGATTAAACACAGTGGCAGACAGTTGGCTGAACGGACTCCCGTTGGTGTAAATATTTCTGTACATTAATAT